TTGTGACGTCTAGCAGCTTTCTTCTCTTCATCACTACAAGAACCTTTTGGCACGAAGAGAGTGACCTTTAATCGTTTGTGTTTTGCAAAATTGATGGCTAGATTTCTGTTTATGGTTGAAAATCCTCCTTTAGATGAACCCCACTCAACAGCCAGGAGAGTGACGTTTAACGCACAATCAGATCCTCTGCAGTGGCTAGACGAAGGAAAGCTGTGCGAGTTGATGCTCCTGGACCTCTTGCTGTCGAGAGCTTCACCTGAAGTATATTGTACATCCATTTAGAATAGGTTTCAAAAAAACAAAATTCTTCGGATTCGAAACCAATCCAAGATGTTTTGACTAAATATTTGTCTTGTTCATAAATCAGACGTACTTAATGAGAACGATTCTGTCTAACCGCGACTTTGGAGATTTTGAGTGCGAAGTTTAGAGTTAAAAATGATATGAAATACCGTTACTTCAATATCCATTTAACAATACAAATAATTTTATTGACGAATCCAAATATTTTTTCAGCCCTCGATTTTTAGCTTTTTATCGCAGTACATAACCTTACTTTACGGGATTATATACATCTCATTACAGAAAAATGTTCAAAACATTTCCTACTGTTTTGGGAGGTTTTCAAAAAAATTCAAACATTATTATTAAATTATTAGTCGAGGTGTTGTAAAGAAAAAATATTAGCAATCTCAGGCTCTTAGAATAGTCTTCATATAATTTACCACGTCGAGCTCAAACCATTTTAGCCTGAAATGCCGCCAGCCAGATTTATCAATGTAAGTAGACCATTTGAGTATCAGAATACCCCCCAAAGTGTCACTTAATATGCATATGTTAAAACCGGATCCAACTGATGATTCTATATTTGTCTAAAGTGTTCGTGGAAAAAAAAAACAATCCTCAACTAATTTCTTATGTGGTAGGATTTTTGCTGTTGTCACTGTGTTATGCATTAAAATCCAACAGTCTCTAATGACCATTTGTTGTCTCTTTTTGCCTTTTAGAAATTTTTCTGAATTCTGAAAGTGCAATCAAAGCAAAACGAGCTAAATAACATGAGTATGAAAGAAAGCCAACGTCTAAAAGGTGCATCAAGCTGCAAAAAGTAATCAAGGTACACATTAAAAATCGGTTTCCGGAGGTGAGCCATGAAAAGTTTAAAATAGTGAATATTGCACGACAGCGAACCATCTCAGGAAACATTAAGTACAGGGGTGGGAGACGAGATACGACAATCCCAGCAATTCAATGAAAATCGATCAATTACAGCACAGCGTCTCATTTTTGCTTAAGGTTAGATGTAACATTCGGAAGAGTTTTCAGAGCGTAATAAAGTTCTCATTAAAAAGAAAACTTATTTCTAAAAGTTTCTCTGGTAGAATCCTTCCTTTTAGTTTTTCAATATTTGGATGGAAACACCCAGTCTCAAACACAGATGACTGAAGGGGAGAAATAAAAAAATTAAAAGATTTCGTGAAACATGTATCATGGGTATCATTTTAAGACAATATCAATAAGCCACTGTCTTCGTAATTATCATTGTCATTATTGTCCCTGAGGGCCCTTTTTGCCCCAACAAGCGCATGAACACCAGCTCGCAGAGGGAATCACCTTAAATGTGTTGGAACAAGGAGTTGTTTTAGAGGTGTTTTAGCTTCATTTGTAAGATTCTACTGCAAACGACACAACTTTCGCGTCCCTGCCATCGATGTAACTGAATGCCGCACTTTATGAATTTTTTAAGACCTACATACAATTATCTTACATTAGACTTCCTATGAAAACTTCGATTGATTGAGAGTGTACAGTCCATATACAATAGTGTGTAAAGTTGACATGATAACCCGAAATTGGGTTATCATGTCGAGTTCAAAGTCTGTCTAGTTTCCAAGCCCCTCGCCCGTGTAGCCAGTTCTCAAACTTTTGCAAACTCAGAGAGAAGTGTCTTCTTTAGCAGATTACCTTAAAGTGAATAACAAAACAATTATTGAATTCGGATTTCGCCTTGGACTTTGGCATTGATAATTCATGATATCATGCTCAACCTCATCCAATAACTGCTTATTATTTCCAAGCAGTTCTGATATCATAGTTTATAACTCTAAATCCCATAACTCCCTGGACAGGTCTTAGCAACAAACAACACACTGCTTTGTGTAAACTCGTTTAAAACACTACTCGCTGCCACCCAACTTTTTCTTGCAATTCCAAATTAAATCCTGGTAAGATCGTGGGATGTGACCATGCTCATCTGACAACACTTATACAGTATGGACGGGCTCTTTCCTAATGAAGCAATAGATCAAATCTGGGTTTTATATCGTAAAAAGCCACGCGGGATATTAGATGTAAGAAGAAGGGGCCCTATGGCTACAATATTAATCTCTTTTTGTGAGCTAATCTAATCGCCGAAAGAAAAGCGCCCAAAGGAAATTAACAAATATTGAACGACAGTAACTGACTTAATAAATGAAATGATGCCAAGCTGATCCGAGCAGGAATTATGGAGAAACTGAAGAGAATAAGCCGAACGCAAAATGACGACAACAGTTAGAATTTTATGCAGAAGAGTATTGCAATTTGGTCGAGGAAAACACGAAGGTTATGGTCAGACACTCTCTCTCCCTCTGTGATAGTGCTAGTGAACCAACACGTACTGAAAGATTAAAGACCTAGGGCTGGCGAACAGATCTTTGCCTTTTTAGGACTTTTTATCTGAAATAAATTTTAGTTAGTTACAGAAATTAAACAACTAAAAAGTTTTTTTTCCGTTGTGAAGATGACATTCTAACTTAAACAAATTCTCAATTTTCTACATTGTGATGGATGAAAAGTAGCGAAATAGAAAGCCGAGAACAACCAAGCCCTATAGAAATATTAATCTCCTTTAGGCTGTGCATTTTAATCAAGATAAAATTTTTCCTTGTATGTTTCAACCACCTCTGCTTGAACTGAAACTCTCACTGGGACCTCGTCAAACTTAATAGCAAGTGCTGCGAACAGTCAGTTTGCCAAAAATGGCATCGCCACGAACCTCAAATTACCAAAATCATGAAGCTATATTCGTTACTCACTGAGCGGTTTTGGTTCCCTCGTAAATGAGTCTTCAAGAAGATACTCGAATTAAATTTCCCTTCTTCCGATTCACTGCTATCAGTTCTCTGAAGCGAATTACTAAAACCTTTCGCTTCGTTACCAGCAGTTTGAGGCTATTTAGTCGAGCTCTATTACTTTTACAGGCGCAAAAAAAAATTAAACCTTAGGGTGCGACCTTCGGATTAACTGCATGTTTCCAACTTTTTCTATAGTCTTTGTAGGATAATGATTTATATTCAGACATCTGAAAGGGAAGAAGTTTCGCTTTTGGTGTAAGTGAGTAGAACTGTATTTCCAGATGGGTATTTACTAATGACTTGCTTTCGTCATTTACCCAAATGTTTAGAGTCCCATAAAGCATCGGCTAAGAAGGCGTATTTTCCAATTGGTTGATAAGCACAATGTAAAGTTGTGTTCAAAAACTATGTAAGTACAAGTACTAAGCTTTTTTTAACTATTTGTGATTCAGAGTATAAATTGACTTACCCATGTTAATTTGGGTGGTGGATACGCTGTTCGTTTCCATGGATGGTAATGCCTGAGACGGAACATTTCATAACTATCACCATTCTGTGCTATAGTAGCATTAATAAGTTTAGAATATGAATTTTATAGAGCATTTACGTAAATCGATATGGCGTTTCACATTATCTGTTAAAACGCTTCATTGAACGGTCATCTCTGTAAGGTGAAGGAAGTCATTTCCTTTCTTATTCATCAGTATACCATCTGACCAAAATGCTTCGTCGAAAAAAAATCGTATTTGTAGCTTCCTGTCATGGTTTCATTTAATATTTGGATTTTACTCTTGACTTACATACAAAGGTTTCTAACCCTTGTAGTTTGGTGTGTTACCGACTGGTGCCGGTAATATCTGTAGGCCTTGCTTCCTGCGCGTAATTTCAAGCTTTGATAGCTGATTGTTAGCCACACGAATTTTCACTTGATCCGTTCTGCCTTAAAATAATTATGTTTATTTAATATGCAGAACCATTTTTTTGCTCTTTTAAAAATGGCTGGAAGTTATTCTCGACGGTAAAAGGAATAATTTTAGCACTAACTTGTTGGTCATAGTATGAATTAAGTTATTGAAATATCACCTTAAGGTTAAAGAAAAATTCAGCCAGGTAAAGGCATAATCGTCCGCTTTATAGGTTGGCTTAACAGTTCTGAAATGGAACCTTATGAAGGGGTATTTTGGCACTGACCTGTATCCAAGTCCGCTGAAGGCGCTGATCAACAACTTTAGCATTTACACAGCAGAATGGGCGCGAATTTATGGCAACATAGTGGCCACAGTCATCACTGTCACATCCTCTTTTGCAATGCCGAAAGCAATTTTTAGTCTTGGGATCTATTTTCCTCAGACACAGGTTGCATTTACCAGAGAACTTCCAGGAAACAGCACGCATCCAGTAACACTCCTTTTTCAGAAACGTCAAAGTCTCCTTGAGAGATCTGTAAGTGGAAGCCGCCTGATATAAATGACATGTTTGTAATCACCCTGGACAAGATAGCGCTCCATCCCCTCGAATATCGAATATATACGTTCACGTATGAATATAAATGAATATATATAATTTCATTAGTCCCTCAACTTATCGTTTCAATTGGCATATGTTTCGAGAAGAGAATACTTTAATACACAAATTACCGGTTTTATAGATGTTTGTATGGAAAAGACGTCTGTGGCAGTCCCAAAAATAAAAAAAACTGGAGAATTCTGCCTTTCTTAAGTTATCAAAAGTTAGAAGAGCCTACCCTGTCATTTGGGCTATATTTCTAGCTATCAACACTTTGTGTGAACAGCTGTCTACTTGCGTACCAAGTTGTCGCCGACGAAAACAAAAAACAGTAAACACGTAGCCTAAGTGAGAGACGAAATGAACCAAAATTCAGACTTTCCAGGTTCTTGATGGTAAATTTTCTTCTGCACAGGATTAACTAAGGCAAAGATCTTCCACGCCCGACTCCTATAGATCCCTTTCGATCTCAAAGTAAAAGAATCGGCGGTGATTAGTTCGGAGTTCTATTTAATGTTTACCTGAAGGCTTCCTCGCAGAGTGTCGGATTACTATTTACCGGGTTGGAAGAGTCCATTGACCAAATGTGGACCTTTATGGCAATTTTGTGGCAGACGAGCCCTAGACAGGTCCGATCTCCAATAATAAACCGGGCAGCATTGGAAAAGAACTGCTGCGAGTCACAACTGGTTTTTGACGCAGCCCACTTACCAAGGAGAACAAGAATTCTACAGAAGAGCCCAGCGGGAACATAATCAGTGTCAAATGTGATGTACGCGGGAGCATATCCTTCATCTTCTGTAGGAATCAGATCTTCTTCTGGCGTGGTTGTCAGCATGCATGGCACCAAGAAGGCAGGCTTGCCATCCTTGTCGTTGAATTTACAAAGGAGATTAAACTTTTCCATTGTGAATAACAAGGATTCTCTGATGTGAGAGAGTTTCTGGGCGCTTAACGCATGATCGAGAAGCTCTCCATGAAGAATACCTTTCTCTTTTAGATCTTGGCTGAGCGAAAAAAGGGACAGTTCTTCATCCTCGTGGGTTTTAACAGATACTATCTTACAGAGCACCTTAGTTAACCATCGTAGATCCAGCACGATCAACCCATTGGGATCCTCGGCCTGGACATGGTACAAAATAGTGCCGCGATCATGAAGGAAGTTAAAGAGGTGTTCGTAGTCGTCTTCCTTTTCCAACGGGCCGATTTCGTCGACTATTTTTAGCCTTAAGTGTTCCCGTTTTGTGTATTTTGTGCCTTTCTTTGCCATATCATACACTCTGTTTTCGACCTGGAGCCATTTCAGGGGAACTTTCCTTTTTGCCTGCTGTAATTTGTCAGCCGTCTTTATAACTTTCTCGCGTAATTTGGTAATTCCTGTATCTTCTCTTTGAGGGGAGATTATGCCAGCTCTGGTGTTATCTACATTCAAGGCTATTGCAATGTGATCGCTGAGAACTCTTGAATTATGGCAGAGGGTACTTTTCAAATCGTGAAGTTTCTGTTCAGGGTTATCTACTAAGTCTACGTGTGTTCCAACAAGAATCACGGGAGGCATTTGTCTTGAACGTCTCAAGGAGTGTACCAAGTCCAACCATCTCATGATATGATCAAAGTTCGTATCGTTACAATCGGGGGCAGGAATAGTAACTTCTTCTCGACCATTTTCTTTTACACGACACTGGGCTGTAGCGAAAAGATTTTTCGAAAGATCAACCATCAAGAGGTAAATTGCCTCAGATGACATAAAGATAGGATGGATGGCACGGTAAACAGCCTGA